CCAGCCCGCCCAGCACTCGGCGTTTCTGAAATGAGGAAGTAGGATGATGCTGGTTGAAGTGGGCTGGGTTTTCCCCTCCTGTGCTTGTTTTTGGGGCAGAGCCTGGTGTTTTGCAAACCAGAGTTTAGGGAACAGAGGTTGGGGTGATGGTAGATGTGCCCCTTCTCGAAGATAGTCTGTGGCCCTCAAGCCCTGGTCTGGGGCAGGGGGGCAGGGAACTTCAGGGTGGATATGGCTGCTGGGGAGGGGCTGGGTTTGCAGAGAGAGCTGGGGTGATGTGTGACATTCCCGGTACACATGGTGAGTGTGGCACACAGTGGGTAGGGGCTTGATTGGTGGCGCAGGTTCAAAGACCAGAAAGAGAGTGAAGCAGAGGCCCCAAGTGTGCAGGAAGACACAGTGGGAGTTTAGCCATCCGGGAAGCCAGTGCATTGAGCTGAGGGGCTGAGTCATCACCCCCAGGAGAGCAGTCTATCCCAGCCCAGGGGCGATGTGTGGGTAGGTCCCCTGAAGGAGGCCAGAGTGGCTGCCCCTAGCCCCCACATTCCCTGCTGAGAACAGCTACACACAGACACACAGAAACACACAGACACAGAGACACACATGCACGCGCACGCACACGCACACACACACGCACGCAGCCGCCCCTTGGCCTCCTTCTGTGAGCCAGCGTCTGTGACTCAGACTCCTGGCCTGACTTCCTGTCTTGGTCAATTTCACTTCCTAGTTGCAGTCTCCTGCCTCTTAAGAACGAAACTCCTTCCTTAGAAATTAGAAGTGGGGTCAGGGAACCCAGACCACAGGGAGTGCTGCAGAATCCGCCGCTGCCATGGGCGCAGTCACAGAACGTGTGTGGGGTGTGCTCCGGGGCCAGAGGCGGGCACCCCAGCCTTTCCTGGGGAGGCCACGCTCTGATCCTTTGGGCGTCTGTTTCCCGAGAGCCAGAGAAGTGGCGGAGATGTTGTGGGACAACCAGTACACCCCTAGACCCAGCCCCTCTGGTATCTGAAGCCTTGTTCATCTCTGAGTGCCTGCCAGGAGCCCAGGTGGCACAGTGGTTAAAGCGCTCAACCGCCAACAGAAAGGTCGGCAGTTGGGACCCACCAGCTGCTGTGCAGGACAAAGATGTAGCAATCTGCTTCCATAAGATGGCAGCCTTGGAAACCCTCTGGGGTAGTTCTGCTCTGTCCTGTAGGTCCCTGTGAGTTGGAATCGACTCTACAGCCATGGGTTGGAGCTGCGTGCCAAGCTCCATGGAGGCCTGGACCCAGCAGTGAACGACTGTGGGGCAGACGAGGGGCTGTGGCATAAAGGGTCAGTGTGATGGACATGACAGAGTCCTGAGGCAGCAGAGTGACCGGGAGTTCGGCTCTCTGAGCGTGGCCACAGCAGGCTTCTAGGAGCAGGCGGGTTCAAGATGAGACTTGGAAGGTGGGCTCAGCTTTCGGAAAGCCATGTGGGCACAGAGTGGTATTCCTGGCACATCCCAGGTTACAGCAGTGGGGGCCAGTAAGCAGGGCAGACAGGTAGGAGTTGTGGTACAGGTGGGCCTTGACTGCCCTGCTCTGAGGTCTGTTTTTTAACCCAGGGGAGTGGTGTGATTGGATGGGCATCCCTAAAGCTCACTTGGACCACCTGGGGGTCTGGCAGAAAAATCTAGACTCCTAGATGTAAGGTGATGTTTAGGTGCACAGCCAGGGGGCTTCAGGCCCCTGGGGAGCGTGTCTTGAGCCTCGTAGGCCGGATGGATTGGCTGAAGGTCAAGGAGACAAGCAGGGCAGTGACCCCTGAGTGGGGGGAATTGGTCGTGACCTGGATCTAAGTCCAAAGTTCGGCTGAGTTAACTTTCAACCTCCTGGGAGCTGCCTGCTACATCCGCGGCAGGTGTGTGTGTGTGGGGGGGGGCAGACTGCTGGCTCAGCCAGGGAGAGAGGCGGCGGTGCCCCAGACCCGCAGCAGGGAGCCCTTCCCGGCACCCTAAATGGCTGGTCGCCTTGTTTTCTTGGAGCGGACCCTCAGGTCTTCATCGTGCTACCAGCACTCACGGAGCCCTGCCAGCACCCGCCCCTCCGTGGTCCACAGAGCGCTGGGCCAGGCCCGCGGCGGCCCGGGGGCGGGGCAGACCGCAGGTGGAACTGGCCGGGAAAGAGGCGGGCGGAGCTGTTGGCGCCCTGGCGGCCGGGGGTGGAGCAGCTCTGTTTTTCTGGATCCCTCCTCTGTTCTTACCGCTGCTGACGCCGCCGCAGCCACGGATGGGGAGAGAGGGAGGGGGAGCCAGGGCTGGCTGGGCCCGCCCCTCTGAACCTGGGCCGCTGCCACGCTCCCTGCCGCCGCCCGTCGGCGTCTGGAGGTCACATTCGTGCTGCCGCGCGCCCAAGGTGGAGGACCGCGCCAGGACGCGGTGCGGTGGGCGCTGCTGCCGGCGGCAGGGCCCGGGCCCCGGCCAGCACCCCTCGCTGAGCGTCAGCGCGGCTGGTGCGCGCTCGGAGCGCTGGTGACGCCTGGCACGAACCCCCCCACGGCCCGCCCTCTCCGGGGAGGGCACCTCGCGCGCGCCGCCGCGGAGGGGACGGCGCCCAGGGTGGCCGCGCGCGCTCGGAGCTGCGCCCCTGCTGCTCCCGCCTCTCGGCCGCAGAGCCCGGAGCCGCGCGCAGAGCAGCAGCCGCCAGCGCGCCCGGCAGAGCCGCCAGCCCGCGCCTCCCGCCGCTCCCGCCGCTCTGGGAGCATCTTCCAGCCGTATGTTTCCGGAAAACTTGGCCGAGGGGGAGACGCGGATGAGAGGATGTGAGTGCCTGGTCCCGAGGGGCTGAGGGCGGTGCGAGCAGCTCCCGGCTGTGGGAGCAGGTCCCGGGAGGCGGCCCCATGCGCCCTCCTTGGCCCTCTCCTGCTTTCCTGGGAGGAGGGCACGCCTCCGCCCTGCTGTGCCGCCTGTGTCTGGGGGCTGCTGGGGTCTTGTGAGGCCCCCCTGCTGTGTCCTCTCCAGGTTAGGCGGCTTAGGTGCGCCTGGGGTGCCCGGTGCTCCCCTGTGTGTCTGGGGCCCTAGTGTGGGGTGCAGAGCACAGGACTCAGAGTGGCCTTAGAACCGTCCCCCCCAGCTCTTCCTGGCACTTGAGGAAACTGAGGCTAGCAGGGCAGAGGGGATTGTCGGGAGCGTGAAGCTGTTCTGGGCAGAGTGTATGACCCCCCCAGCCCACTGCCTCCCTCCAGAGCCCCACACTTTCAGGAAGGGTTGGGTGACCCCCACCGGTCAGCCCAGCGGCTCCCACGAGGGAGTTCAAGAGCCCCCCCCGCTCTGAACCACTTCCTTATTTGTTTATGTAGTTTGGAAATGTCACCCTTCCCTGGGGCAGGCCACCCCTGGATCTGTGCCTGTGCCCTGGCTGCCGCGCTTGCCAGGCTCTCTCTCGGCCCCAGCAGGGAAAATATAAATAAACACGCGTCTCGTGTCCCCCATGGTGGCTCACTCCCTGGAAGGGGCAGCTGCTGCTGGCTCTCGGAGGGAAAGGTCAGGGGGCCGGGTTACACTCGGTCCCGAGCCGGCCCTCCCCGTCAGTGCCTGTCCTTGAGGAACCCTGAGGAGCTGGTCACCGTGCCACGTGGCCCTGGGCACCACAGGCGAGCAGGTGGCTGACGGTCCACCCCCACTGCCGGGGCACAGGGCCAGCAAACTGGTGCCCCCCCACTGACCCCTCCCCCGTGTGCTGCCCTGACCCCTCGAGCCTGGGATTTCCCATCCTGCAGATGAGAAGCTTCACGGCCTGGGCAGCAAGGACGAGGTGGAATTGCGTCTCTGAAGGGGCTTGGAGAGCTCTGTGTCACTGGGTGGGACATGGGGGCTTGTTGACGTTGTTGTTGACGCTGTTGTTTTTGTTGGGAGCCTTGTGTATGACACGCCGTTGGCAGATTTGTGGCCCGGTGGCCGGAATGAATGAATGAATGAACAACAAGGCCAGAACAGGACAGGGCCTCTCAGGAGCTGGGTGTGATTCCATGAAAATGGCCTCCAACCTCAGGGGGATCTTCAGCTGCAACACTTGGGACCCCTCCCACACCTTGAGTCCCAGGATGCTGCCCCTCCCAGACTCCCCTTCCCCCACTCGGGCACGTGGGGCTGGGCAGGGTCATGCCGCTGGGGAAGCAGCCTGTGTACGGGTGTATGTGGTCGCGTGTGTGTGTGAGTGTGTTCACATGCATACGTATGTGCACGCACGTGTACATGAGTGTGTGCTGATGTGTGAATGTGCATGTGCGCACATGTGAGTGTGCACGCACTTATGTATCTCTGTGTGCGTGTGTGTCTGTGTGTGCTGGGAGCTCTGTGTGCAGATGGGCTGAGACCTGGTGGCTTCTCTGGCACTGCCTGGAGACACGGTTAGAGCTGCCCTTCTGCTGAGCCTGGGGCTTGCAGCTTTGAACATAAAAGCTGGGGGGGGGGTGCAGCTGTGGCCTGAGCCAATGGAGGGGGCTTTTTCTGCTCCAGGACAGGGGTTTGCCTGTCCTCAGGGTTTCTCCCCACTTGAGGAGATGGGGCCGTTTGGAGGCAGGTCCCCCTAGCCCCCAGGCCACCACTGGATCCGGGTGCGTGGGCCTTGGGGGCCCCAGCTCCCCCAGCCTGTCTCCCTGCATCACACCCCTTCCTCTCCTGCCTGGCGTGGCCGGAAAGCAGCCCCGTCTCCCGAGGCCTCATCTGCAGCTGTGAGTGTGTGTCATCACTGTCTCCTCCAGCCAGCCAGGGGAGGCGGAGAGTGGGGCCAGGCGGAGGCTGTGTCCCGAACGTGGAATGTGGGATGCTGGCCTTGGAGGCGTGCACCCAGGGATGGGCCCACCTGTCCCCTGTTCCCCGAGCCCAGGCTTTTCTTGCACACCCCAGCAGAGGCCCAAGCTCGGAGACCAGCCCCTCAACATCCCTCTGGGGCCGTGTCCCCACGCAGGGCATGTGGCCCACCGCGCTGCCCCCTCCAGAGGCCTTGCCGGCGTGCTCAGCGCCCTCCCTCCCCCAGGTCTCCTGGAGCATGGCCGGAACTGGTCGGCCATCGCCCGCATGGTGGGCTCCAAGACCGTGTCGCAGTGTAAGAACTTCTACTTCAACTACAAGAAGAGGCAGAACCTTGACGACATCCTGCAGCAGCACAAGCTGAAGATGGTGAGTCCCCAGAATGATGCGCAGACAGACTGCGCTCTAGGGGCCAGTCGGCGGCAGGGAGAGGGTCTGCGCCTGGACGCCCGGGCCTGGGGCGTGTTGGCTAGCTGTTGCTGGCTGGGCTCCGGCATTTGAGGTCTGGTCAGCAGTGCCCGTGGGAGGGCGGTAGGAATTGGTAGTTCTGTAGACGTCCCTTCTCGTGCCTGGCAGTCGGGGCGCCCCTCCTCCTGCTGCCCCACCCCAGCGCCCGCCGTGGACGTCTCCGGGGGGGCTGAGCGTTCGCTTGGGGTGTGGAGAAGGAGCCTCGGAGCCGGCACTGACTCAGCCGGAATCCGCAGCTGTCAGCATGTTGGAATGAAGAGCCAGAGGCAGATGGGCCACGTTCGCGCGTCTCCCTCCCCGTGTGACCTCACAGCTTGGGGCCGCTGTGGGGGAGGGAGGGGTGGGTGTGTGGGTGTGGACAGTGGGGGGGAGTCGGCCAGGACCCCTGTCCAGAGCACAGAAGGGGAGGGCGTGCCTCACCAAGCACGAAGACGTATCCACGCAGCAGCCGCGTCCTCGCCGCGGGCCTGGGCACCTCGCCCCATGGGGGCAGCCTCTGCTGCCTTTCCTGTCACTCTGGGTGCACTTGTGATGGGCGAGTGCCGGCACTCTGAGGTCCCCAACCACGTACTTGGAGTGGGGCCTAAAGCCACAGGGACCTGCATCCCTCACCGTAGGGCCGCGTTTCCCTCGGACACCAAGGCTCCAGGGAACGCGCAGCTCCCCCCCCCCATGTGGCTGTCTGCCGCTGGGTCCCCGCGTGTACAGCCTGTCCCCGTGCCATGTCCGTGCGTGCTTCTCACAGCCCCCCAGGCTGCACAGCTCATGGTCGCACAGCTCATGGTCGCACATACCAGCCATGGAGTGGCTTTGTCCCCCTGATCACAGCCCTGCGGTGGCTCTCACCCAGCCATGCTGCGGGCACCGGGTACCCTTGCCCACTCCACTGTCTCCCTGGGATCCCATGGCTCCAGGCTGAGTTGGATCCCTGCCTTATCCCCAGCACTTCCAGTCACAGGTCCCACAGCCCCCTGGGACCATCCTTAGCACCCACGGGCTCTGGCATTGCCCCCTCGTGCTCCACCAGGCCCACTTTCTCCTGGTATTTCCAGGTCTCTGAGATCTGCTTGGAAAGGAGGGGGCTGAGTGTCAGCCGTGTCCTGGAGCCCTGGCAGAGGCCCCCCAGCCTGGCAGCCTGCAGGGCCAAGCCTGCAGCTCCGTGGGGCTGGGCCGGGGCCGGGCTGGGAGGGGCATCTTCCCAGACCCAGGGGTCTCCTTCTTCTCTGCCCCCTTCCTGCTGTTGCCTCCCTTCCCTTTGCCCACACCCCTTTTTCCTTCCCGCCACTCGCCCTCCTGTTTCTCCCCCACACCATCTTCCCCTCTCCTTCCTCCCCTCCACTGCTCTTCCCAGCTAGTCCCTGGGCTTCCAACCCAGTGTCCAGATGGAGCCAGTCCCAAGTGCCCAGCCCACCTCCTTCAGCATCTCTCTCCCAGGAGGCCTCCCCACCTGCGTCCCTGCAGAAGCTGGGGAAGCCCCGCCAGGCTGACAGTGTGGCTCAGGCTCAGGGCGAGAGTGGGTTCAAGCCCCAGCACAGCAGTGTAGCACTCATGTGGCCTTGGGCAGCAGCCTTGCCCATGGCTGTGCCTCATCTGTGAGGTGGAGAGGTAGCAGCGCTTCCTTCCGGTGCCCGCCCGAGGGCTGAAGGGCTCAATGGGAATCTAGATAGCACCTGGCAGAGAGGAGCACGTGGGCCTGGGCTTAGGCCGGCGCCCTGACTGCTCTTGGTGCGCCGGCTGTGACGGTTCCTACTGCTGCAAGTGCTGTTACGGCGACAGCCACCGCCCTACATCTATTCCTGCTGCTCCGTTACTACGGCCACTGTGACTCTGTTACTACTCCGTCTGTCCCTGCTGCTCCTCCATCTATTCCTCCTGCTCCGTCTGCCACTACCGCTGCCGTTACTCCACCTACTGCTATTACCCTGTTAGTACTGCTGCCGTTACTCCATCCGTTCCTCCTGCTCCATCTGTTGTTACCACCACCGTTCCTCCATCTATTCCTCTTGCTCCATCCGTTATTACCACCGTTGCTCCTTACTCCGTCTGTTACTACTCCGTCTGTTAGTACCACTGCTGTTACTCCATCTGTTACTCTGTTAGTACTGCTGCCGTTACTCCATCCGTTCCTCCTGTTCCATCTGGTGTTACCATCACCGTTCCTCCATCTATTCCTCCTGCTTTGTTATTACCACCACTGTTACTCTTTACTCCATCTGTTACTACTC